TACGATATGGTTTTCCGATTTTACTGAGTAACTCTGTAATTTTCGTTAAATACAATTCGGTTGCCCCACCAGTGTTCTCGTTCACTACAATAATACTTCAAGTGTAAGTACACTTTTGGAAGTTTACCGCATATGTTAAGAATATCTTAAATGAACGTAGTGATTTACTAGATATTCGTAATTTCCTGAACGATTATGTCTCACAGCTTGTTGTTTTGGGTGTCAACTTAAAGATTATTATCACTAATATTATAGTGACTGTTATGATTATTGGTACTATTTAATAGTTACAAGCACTAAAATAATAACAATTCCAAATATAATTTTTTCTCAACTTATTAAATTTCGTATTTTGCGAAAACATGTGGATTAAATGAATTATGTAATGAGATTAAATATTCATTCTGGAGTATCTTTATTCTGTTGACAAAATTCAATCACTTGGATACCATTATGTCATAACAAATGTGTTCAGGATGTTAGATCCCCAGTACTCGCTTGATAAATGTCTTTATTTTTGGATTTATTTCATGGACCGATCAGTTAAACTTGAGATCACATTTCCCACCAGGAAAATCCTTGCCTGTGATTGGTTACTGTGTCATTTTAGTATGCTCGCTGGGTGTTTGTAGAATACACTTTCTACGCTATATTAAGACTTCTTGCTGGTACAATTGGGATAATCGGATCACAGTAGTCTACCCGGACGCTGGTTCATTTTCTCGTTTTTGTTATTCGAATAAGGTGAATCCATAATAGTTTAAGCATACTTAGAGACGAGCATAACAATTGGCGACGGCGTTTTGACAAAAGACCTGGTGAATTATGATGGATGCAGCTAAATTAGAAAAATTGTTTGCACAATAGCAGCAGTTGATGGAGATACTTACTCATACGCATACCTCTTCTCAAGTCTCATCTACACCGACAATTCCTCAGTCAGTCGATAGTATGACCAGTGGTATTTCAGAGTTTCTTTATGATCCTGACGCCAACATTACATCTGATACTTGGTTCAGGCGTTATGAAGATCTATTCAAAGTTGATTTTGCTGACAGAGATGATTCCTGGAATGTGAGTCTTCTCCTTAGAAAACTTGGTCCGTCAGAACTGGACCAGTATTGCCACTACTTCCTACCTCAGAACTAACGCGACCGATCATTCGATGGTGCTGTTCAGTCCCTCAGCAAACATTTTGGTAATCAGCACCCTCTTTCAAATACACGTTATCGCTGCTTAAAACCGGTCATGGATGAATCCGATAACTTCATGACCCATGCTGGCATTGTCAGCCATGAGTGCGAACGGTTCGAACTCAAATATCTCATCAATGACCAATTCAAATCTTTCATATTCATATGCAGTCTTCAATCACCTTAATTCTTCAACATCAAAACGCGGTTGCTTAACCACCTTGAACAAGACCTAACACTAACACTCGATGCGATCACTGATGAGTACCAAGGCATCAGTAACTTGCAGCATGACAACACTTTGGTGCAATCTGGGAGCCGGGGTGGTTCTGAAGTTCACGTTGTTCACCAACAGTTACCTAACCATAATAAAGGTGCACATGCTACACCCAGTTCATCCCACTCCACCTCAGTCCAAAAGTCGAATCCTCCTACTCCTTGCTGGCGCTGCGGCTCATGGCACTATGTACGAAACTGCCCATTTAGGCAACACCAATGCGGGAAGTGTAAAGTCATTGGTCATAAATATAGCTTTGGCCTAAAGAGAAAGCCGAATCAATCCAGAAGTGCCAAGAAGTCTGTTCCTAGATCCGGTACTAATTCACTGAGCCTTATATCTTCCTGTCAAAGCTCATCACCAGGTGAGAGAAAATTCATTACTCTTCATGTTAACGGGTATTTGAGTAGATTGCAAATAGATATCGCATCTGACGTCACCATCCTCTCACGCAAAAATTGGGCCGAATTGGGTAGCCCAAGCCTTCAGCAGACAACACAGAAGCCTCGTACAGCATGTGGGCATTACCTTCGTCTGTTAGGACAACTGAAATGTAAAGTTACCTTCCGAGGCTCGTCATTTACTGGTGTATGTTATATAAGGCCGGCTGATCTAAATTTATTTGGTTTAGATTTCACATCAGTTTCCAGACGCGTCAGAAAAAGCCGTTATGCATGCATCCCGTACACTAACCCCAGCAGAAAAGTAGTACAGACAGATGGAGAAAGAGACTCTTTCCCTTGTGTTTGCTGTTCGCCGTTTCCACAAGTTTCTGTACGGTCGGAGATTCACGCTCCTCACAGATCACAAGCCTCTGTTAGCAGTATTCGGTTCTAAATCTGGCATTCCAGCCCATTCAGCAAATCGTCTTCAGCGATGGGCCTTGGTACTTTTAAGGTATGATTTCGAAATCCAATATCGACGCACTCACGAAATGTAGAACACTAAAATCATTTTATGCAGTGGCTCTAAATAGAGAGATTCCATGTTCTTTTGGTAATCTAGATTTGTAGGTGCCGTCTATTCCTATGGTGTCTGTCTGATTCTGTATACGTAATAGTTAGTATTGCAGCTGACCATCTACTTTAAACTGCAGCTGGACTCCTTCTTCTTGTCGGATGATGTGTGCTGCGTTTTAACAATGACCAATTAAGCCAACATCTAGCGATCCAAGGCTGGAGCTCCTTCTAGCAGTAAAATACGTTTGTCCTTCATTTTAAATTCTATCAGACGACGAAAAAATTGACTTCAATCATAAACAACGCCTAGTAGATCATGCTCATGAGGCACTGACCATCAGTCATACGAAAGATTGATAGATATAACCAATATCTTACCTGGTTTATTATATACAAGATTTTCGTAAAGACATCCCTTCGTGTTGATGATAACGAGTTATAGTATTAGATCACTGTAACTCGCTTAAAATCAACATAAACTGATCAAGTAAAAACGAATTCTAACCGAAACTAATTGTATTTTTCCAAAAAAACTGGGTAAACACTGGAAAACAGAGTCACATTTAGAGTTCTACGTTCAATATGTGTGCCACATAGCATACATTCATCCATTCAGTGAGAAAACTCTGAATTCAGGGGTGTTATTTTTACGGAGGGTTTCACTCTGAGCCTTAACAGCCACCATTTTTGAACTTTTTCATCCAGTAAAATAGGATGCTATTCACTGAAGATATATATAGATGTTTTTTTTGGAATGGATGAATGAAGTTCCTATTGAAAACTACACTTTGTATGCAGCAACGATACACAAAAAAACATGGAAAAATGATCAAAAGCAACATGTATCGCATGTAACTGGACATTGAAAAAGGAAGGTTACCTTTGTACTTATTCACCTATTAATTTCGATACACTAAAGTTAACAAGAAAAAAAATACCTTTGATTAATGTATATGTTGTTACTACGTCTAAGCCTAACTATTAGTTCATTTGATACAATCTGGCGATCAGGGTTCTTTGTTTCTCTTATAATGTTCAGAAAAGTTTAAAAAAAAACAAGTTTACATTTAATGAGGGAAATAAAATGCATCAAAATGTAATGAGACTATGACCAAGGTTTGACATGATCAATTAATCAGTGCAAACATTCTTCACAAATTGGGTTAAAAAAAAATTAACATCTAATTATTAATCTGTGTTCATTCAGAAACAAAGAAGACTTGTTCACCTGATTCCGATGAAGCAGTAGTATATAAGTTTTTTTGAATCATCTATAATTATGTATACTTAAACAATTTAAGTAGTCACAGAATTAAATATTCTCTTTGTAGTGAATTAATTAACTCAACAACTAAGTACCACATCAGTACTCTTTATATAATGTTTGTTCTTAATCATGTCAAATAGAACTTATTTCTGCATTAGAATGAGTATAGACAATCGTAAATAAAAATGGTCTTTACGTCGAGAATAGATCATTTTTCCAATGATCTGTGCAGCGCAGTAAAAAAATATGATATCTGGTTATGGAATAACACATTGCTCACGGACTCCTTTTTAACCTAGGAAGATCTCTGCAAAACTTGGAAGTGCAACACTAAGTAGTAGTAATTGAAAATAAAGTGTTCCTCAAAAAATGTATTCTTACACCGTTGAGAAGCAACTAAACGAATTATATTGACAACAGAAACGATTTACTGCCCTAGTATCAAACTTAAGAACAAATAGATATATTCAATATCCTGGTGGTTGTAAGCACACCTCTAGTTAAGAGAAATTTGTACCATATCTATCAGAATGAGTTTAGCGTACAGGGCATTCACATTTGTTGTACTACAATAGGGTTATTCTACTTAAAGATTATTTACCGATCATAAAACAACGCAATCATGATTACTCAGCTAAATAAAATGACATGAGTACATGTAAAATGATTCACACTTCGAATTTATGCACTTTAAATAGTTATATGGACAAGTATAACCACTCCTGCCAGTAAAAAGTAATTGAAAGACCTAAGTATGTATGAACCGAAGAACATTCTCCGGAAGTAAAACTGAAAAACGGATATGACTATATGAGATATAAAGGTAATGATATTGAACCAATAGTTAGTGCCAGTAATATCTCTGAGATAAATCTATCTAAGCACCATATGCACCAGAAAAAAACCGCTCTAAGTCTAAAATAACCAAATAATTGTTAGGATATTCATCCAAAATCGAAACAGAATTATTAGTCAATTCCTATTGGTTAATTCCTACTGGTCAATATTATGGTCGTCCTGACTGTCACTGTCACAGACTTCAATGTTGTTGTTCCCTATTCGACCTAACTGTATAAGGACGCATTATCTGTAGGGTTTTATGATCAGGACCGGGTCTCGGATATCCAGTCCGGGGTCCTAATTCTCTTCCGGACTCGGACCTCATACTATCCGAATGCTTGTAGAATACATGTTCCACTTCTCACATCAAGTCTTCTTCTTTTTATTCAATGGGGATTTGGGACAATCGGATCAGAATAGCCTGTCCTGTGACCGGATCTTCGTTCCTCGCTCTCATTTTCCGACCGAAGTAAACTCGTCATAGTTCAAGCATGTTTACATGCATGCGTAACAATAATATGAAATGAAATTCTTAAAAAAAAACATTATGCATAAATCAGTTAGACGTTTAGATGAAAAATGATCACTAAGCTAATTGAGCTTTGTATGTCATTACACATAATAACAATAATAATAATCAATTCCAAAATACTGAATCATTTTCAAGTGTTGTAAATTTTTTTCTGTTATTTTACATTTGATATGGATGAATGTAGTTTAAATGACAATGAAATTTAAATGATTTGTAATAATTTAAAAAAAATAAATTCAGTAGAAAATGCACAAGTAAACAATACACTCAAATATAATATACATTTGACTTCATTCTTTCTTTACGTTTGGCTCAACACAATGAATACGTTGTTTTAATTTCCTAAAATGCAATAATCATATTGTATACATTAAAAACCGGAGAAATAATCAATACAAATTTGTAACAGCAAATGGAATAAATATGAATCTAATCGTTAAGAAACTATATGGTATAATACATATTCTACGTGTTATTATTATAATCATTGGGTAGAAAAATAGTTCCAATGACTGATAATCACACATATAATCACATACAAAAGGTTTCGTTAATAAGCTATCATCAAATAAGATAGTTGTTAAAACGGTTTAAGTACACTGAGTATTCATATAGCTCAATCTACATACATGCAATGGTAACAACCAACAAAAACATCAAGTCACTTTCCAGAACTCAGTCAGTCAGTCAGCGAAAACGTAGTACTTCATACCTACACACATCAGTCCAAGTTACTATACAATGATAACAAAAAGAGATGTAATTTTCGATTTGAATGCCATAGTGATAGATGCAGTAGAAGCATGAACAGTATTTGGAAAGATTCGAGTTTGAAGATGTTATTCAAGGAGTATAATATAGTGAAATAAATTTGAGAAAAGGAAGATGAAGGATATGAGGAAGTAGGATTACAATTTGAGAGAACATAAAGAGTGGATGTATCTGAGCCATGGCAAACGATCTTGTCATTCAGAGTCGCCAACCACCTGTTACTAATGTCTTGCAGACTCCAATCAAGTAGTCTACACGTACTAACATGTCTCAGTCAACTTTTCAGGGACTTCATGGATTTTTGCGATGTTTAGGTTTTCCTGCACCTAGCTTGCTTTTAGTTTACCCATACATTAGACAACATCGCTTATCAATGCACTCGTACTACAGGTCTCAACCACCTCAGCTGATGAAGATCCACCACTTCGCCATCTCTAACTAGTAGTCTTTCTCTAACACCAGCATTGTTTACCCAGCCGACCTAGGATATACGAGCAATGCATCGAAAATAACTATGATCGAAAACCAGTAACATACGAATACCCTAAACTCTTACTGGCCATGTTTCGCACCCATATTGGACGGAGCAAACTGCTGCGCAGTACATTCGACCTTTGGTTGGCCAAAAATGAAGCGAGTTGGCAAAAGCCAGTCGAGCCTTCTGTATCCATGCTGAGATTTCATCAGTCACCAGGCCATCATTACTGGTGAGACTCACCAGATAAGTGAAGCTGCTGATACGCTTAACTGCATAACTCCCTATCACTGGTTCAGGTGCCGAGGCAAGCCAACGCCGAAGCAAAATTTTGAATCTGAGGGGGGGAGAGAACAGCAGCCCCAACATGCCTGCATCGTTGCTTAAGATATTCAGAGGACTCGGCGTTTTGTCAGCGTCTTCACCAAATAGAACTATTTCATCGGTATACGCTAAGTCAACAGGCGAATCTCCTGATAGAAGTTAGCTCCTGAAAAGTCAAATGATGAAAGTGTCATATCTAAGGGCATGTCAATGAAAAAGTTAGGCAAGAATGGAGAGGGTGGACAACAGTAATGGACGCCACTTGAAGTAAACAATTTCAATGACAGTTCATCATAAGTCCTCAATCAACCAGTAGTGTTCAAGTAGAGAGCCTGTATAAGGTCAATGTAATTCCTTGGTACAACTCTTAATAAGAGACGCTGTCAAGGTCGAGAAGTACTACTACTGTGGGGCGTCGGAACGAGTGTCTTTGTACTGGGACCTGACGTAGTGTGAATATGTGGTCAGCGCATAAGCGAATGTCCATCGGGACCAAGTCTAAGAGGGCGAGTTCTGTCCTTGTACTTAATATATCTACACCGGCGAGGCCACAGGAAGACGCAGCAGGGCTTCCAGAAACATGGAGCTTAAACCGAGTTGATTCTCTATCTAGACAAGTTCAAATCAAATTAATGATTTTGTTCGGATCCTGCATGTACTTTCCGGAGACGCGGCATACGTGGACGGCACAAGATTCCAGAGTCTTATCTAATGAAGCCTATAGCCCTACTTGACACAAGGTTCTAAAATTAAAAGCTCCAACATCTAGTTTAGAACGGGGTCTTATGAGACCCGGAATAGATTTTCGTGAACTCGCATAGTTTGCATCAGCGTTGAGGGGTTACAAAGGAGTGTAAGAAGGGTTAGTCGTAGAGAAAAGAGAGAGATTAGGGGGTGTAAGGAGAATTTGATTGTGATCAATTTGGTTTCGTATGTAGTTACGGGTTTGAAAGCGGATGTCACTTGACTGCCCACACCATGGAAGGGTACTTCTTGAGGAACCTGAAAAGGGAGTTTGATTAGTGCTGGTCTTAACGACCGCAGAGCCCAAGGGACAACTGCTTGAGGCCGATCACGCACGACCTTTATATGGGAAGCTTTTCAACTGTTAGCTCCACTTTTCAAATGGCCTTACCACCGGAGACGTAAACCCATGGGGTAAAGTGAAGTGTGGATTCTTTGGCATCGATCTTTTCTAACCTCTTCCTTCCTTGTGAGAAGGCAGCATCGCTGTAGATGCTGGTTGTCCTAGGGAAACACCTTATTGTTGTCACGCCCCACTACAGTCAGCATTACAACTCCGCCCCCAGACCTTGAGTCGCTGTTTTTAGTCTTACCGTTCTCCAATCAATGTGCCTAGCACGACAGAACCTACACAAACATATGTTCCAGCTCGGATGGGTCATCACGATTAGTTAGCCCGACCACCACGTCAAGGTAGAAGCTATGGTCGGGAACTAATTAATAAAATTAACGATCACCAAATGAAATGAAACTAAACTGCGCGCTTTTGATCCTTTTGTAAAATCAGTTTTTTTGGAGTTTACAGCAGGAATACTGGGAAAAATTGCCGTTGGTATCGCACCTCCTCCTGGTATTAAATTTTTAATATCTTAATAAATTACACTAAAGTGTTCCGTACATTACTGAGACTGTGTTTAGAATTTCTAAAAAAGTTGAATTTGCATTTTTGTTTTCATGAATGTGTAAAATAGGATTGACGAATATCTCCTCGCATTTTATAGGTATGTATTAAGTAATTTAATTTCATGTCACATAATTTATATTATGCTAAACAAACACAACTTACTTATTTGGTTTCGATTCCATCATACGAGTATAGAAAAGAATCTAGAAAATATTAAATTATAAATGAATTTGTATATGATAAATGAACAATAAGTAGCTAACTTATAATATGTAAGCATATATGGTCGATGCCAAAACAAACAATGGTTTTATTGACCAACCATTTGACTGGTTGTATTATCACGATAATTTTAAAAACATGAAATATGTGAAATCACAATTCATAATATTAGTACTCTTGATAAAGTTTTTTTGAAACAAGGTCAACGATTGTTGTGAAATGAAATGAATTCTCCTCATTGATGGCTCTTGTATTCTAAATTCAACGAGCAGGACAGGGAAAGAAGCTATCGAATAGAGGACCAATAATAATGTAGCACTGGCTCAAGGCCTCTAGTTCTGGTTGGCACGTCATTGGTTAGCTCAGGGACAAGGTCATAAATATAGATAATATGACTGGTGGTTTCTTTTGTATAGTATTAGTGAGTGGCTATTAAGTTATAAAATATATTTAAGTCATTTCTAAAATACAACTAAGATACAAGTGCTAACTTATTCTGACAATAGGATTTCTCAAAATCCTTCATCCAGTCAATTAAGGGTTGCAGTTTAGGCTAATGCACATATTATACATGTATCCTCAGAAAAATAGACCACTGAGGCATCTCAATATTGGTCTTGATTTGTCTGATCTACTGATGCGGATTGATCAATTTTCTCAAGTTTTAGTAACATAGTGCTACTAGCAGTGGACAAACAGGCACTTGGTGAAAGTATTTTGTAAATATCCTAGGACGATCAACTTTTTAGTATCGTTATATATGGCTTGATACTGTTCTCATCTGTTAAGAAATATATACTAAGACTGTTTAATGAAATTCAAAGAATGAATCTTAGAAGACTGAGAACAAAATTAGTTGAAAAATTTAATGAACTCTAACAAGACAACCGTGAAATGATTCATGCCATAAATTATTATTGGTCGGATTATAGACAGAATTCAAAAAAGTGGTATTTTGTCTAAAGATCAACATATTTCACACATTTAGATAAACTTATTGTACCGGTTCAGTAGTCCAAAGTTTGGGTGTTTGCTCACAAGACCGAGGGTCCTGGGTTCGAATCCTGTGAGGTGCAGGAGTCGTGGGTGCGCACTGCTGATGAGTCACATACCAGGATGAAACGGGCATCCAGTGCTTCTAGATTCCTAATGGTGGTCTAACTTCGATCGGTTCATGATCTTAATTATGTAACTTAACAATTTTCACAACCCCGTAAAATTGATTATAGCAATATTTGGTTCTGTTATGAGTAATATGGTCTTCATTTAGTAAATTAAACTTCATCACTCATTTTGTTTTATAATCGTGTAAAATATAATATCTATTTTAGTTATTCAGTTGATATCGACTTGTTCAATAAATTATTTATGAAAAATACATCAATAAATGATCTGAAATTTACCGTTTGTGCCCATCCAGCATAATTTCCCCAAATATCACTAAGAGATTTTGAAATAGCATCATATGATTTCGTAGTCATTGTTTTTCGTGATGCTTCAACAATTCCTTTTTCACATGCAACACGATACATATGCACATCGATAGGGACAACATTTAATTTATCTAACGATGTCAAGCATATACAATCTGCAACCTGTTTAAAAAAAATATAACAAGAACAAAAAAGAAGAATAAATAACAGTAAACATTAGGACAGACAAGGAGAGTGCATTGATCACACGATTCAGTATCCTTGTGGTGGCCGATTTCGATGTGGTCTTAATCTTCGTAATTAGCTCGTCCAGACAATCATTACTAACTAGCGTCTGACGGTTTACAAATCAGAAGGCGAATTCGAAGTGTTGAATAAGTTTATTTGGGACACATCACAAAGCGAAGCGGAGAAGCAGTGAATAAAACGAATGAAGCGACGTGAATTGGAGAAGGCTGCTGAGACAACTCCGAGGATTACAATGCGAACGGATGGGCGAATGAGGCGAATGAACAGGCAAAGCGAGTTGGAGAAGGCTAATGAGCCAACTCCTAGAAACAGAGCATGACTAAAAATATATAGTCAGACAAAAATAGGACAGACATGTGACCAACGAGATAGGCATGCACACACATGAATAAAAGCGACGAGTGATCGACAAGATCAAATGGACAAGTGGGACATGTCATGTGAACTCATACAAACCAGACAATAATAAGAACGAATAATACATATAAATTGTTGCAATACAAATGGTTTGGTTAAATAAATTAATCGAAAGTGCTTAACCAAATTAAATGTAAGCGAACCCGAATATATGTGGAGGCACTACATCCTCTTTAAGCATAGACTAGACTAATCTAACATATATCTACACTTCTACACTAACTTGATCAAATATTGTTATTGTCAATGGTAAAACTTCGCCTGTAGACCATTCAAGGCTACTGCCGGTCTGGAGCCCGTATAAAGGAGGAAGAGGATCAGGATGTGGGATGGCGACCCCATTCCGCAAAAAACTATTTTGATGAGAGCGTATTTCAAATAGTATCATGAATTTTTCTGAGCATAGAGTTATGGAGATTATTAAGTTTCATTGGAACGATAAATCAGTCATTGTTAGATTAATTAAATTTGAACATTAACACCGTTGGATGCCGATTCAGTGGCTTAGACATTAAGCATTCCCGTGCGAAACCATAGGTTCTGGGTTCGATTCCCGTCAGTGGAGGTCGTGAATGCGCACTGCTGATGAGTTCCATACTAGAAAAAAACGACCATCCAGTGCTTCCATGTTTCTAATGGTGGTTTAACAGTGAGTGATTTATAATTTCAGTATTCTAAATCCGATTCGAGTCTATAATTTGCATCTATCTACTTAAAAATTTGCGTTTTCTTAGGCCAGTTATTTCAAATCCATTCCCCGATAATTAGTTGTAGAATTCATTGTAGTTATTTCGCTATACGAACTTAACTTTATCATGACAATGGTTTTCAATAGTTCTTGTGTCGCGTTACTGTAGTTGCTTGACATTTTCTTTCCAAGCATCTTACGTTTGAATCGTACAATAAAGAAAGTAAAACTTTTAAAATATATCTCTTTTTGTATATGAATTTGGTTTCTTTCGGATAATTGGTGTTTTCTCCGTCAGTTCACCGTCTGTGATGTATGCGACCTGACAGAACATATCCTATTGGAAATTCTTCCGTAATATTCTTTTGTCTTTACATTGTCTTTGACATAGTTTGTTTTCAAACCGTCTTTACTGTCTACATATTATTTTTACGTTCCATTATTCAGAACAACACATATAAGCGAACAATAGTGTTGTTTTTATTTAGATCGTCATCAAGCTTTACTGTAATACACATGATTATTAATGTGAAAATGTTAAACCGGTCAAGGTGATTCCAGTCAATAGTCACAATGAAATAGATTATGTAACTACACATCACTGAGGCAGAAGTACAACTTGATAGTTGGAAGACAGGTGTACTAATAGTAGTAAGAATAATAAAATACGATGCTGAAAGTCTTATCACTAGTTCATTACTGGAAATAGTACGTCAAATGGGGATAAATAGACTTTAAATAATCATTACAAAACATCTAATTGAAAACAATATTGTTCGTTAATATGTGTTATTCTAATTTTTACAATGGGAATCTTTAGTGTTGCATTATTTACCTTTGATTGTGATCAGTTTGGTCTCGTGTGCTTTTATGCGTATGAAGGGGGATGGTACTTCCCTGCTGCCCACACCGAGGAAGGGTTCTGGTTGTCAGAAGGGGCATCGGGCTCATGACTTCTGAAGGAACTCGGCTTTATCATGAAACCTCATAATTCTTCTAAATGAAGACATTCTAACTCTCAGAGTAGAGTTTAAATGGTTTGAATTATTATTACTTGTTAGCTTTTTTTCGGCAAGTTAAAGTTATGATAAGCGTATCAGTGTTGCATATGAATGACTGTATATATAGTTCAGTAATCAACCAGTAAGTCAACAGATGTAAACTTAAGACAAGACTACACAACTGGTTGATTATTCTAACTAATTACGCAGGCATAAGAATAGGAATTGAGGAGTGTTAAACTAAGTTTGCAGCTAACCATCTCAATATGAATATTTAGTGTTATTAGTAAATATATGAACAAGAAATTAATGGTAGAAATGCAAAGAAATCTGGTGAACAAATCACACAAGAATAAAGTTAGAAATTAAAACTGAACAAAATTGAGAATCATATACATGATGTTGGAGTTCAGTAGAAGGTCAAAATAAATTAAGAAGCTGTGGAGATTTTTGTGGCACACAGTGAGGAGAATGTTTTACTTATATTTCTATGGACTCCACTGTATCCAAGAGATGAAATTTGCAAGCGTAGTGCACATTTTATACAATTCTACAGATAACTTTGTTTCATTTCGGAGAATAGTATCGATTTAATGTGTCAAAACACAACATCTTATTGCTGAGTTTAGTACTTTGGTTTATCTAATTTTAAGTTCAATATAATGTAAGGCCTCCACATATATTCTAGTTCGCTTACATTTAATTTGGTTAAGCACTTTCGATTAATTTATTTAACCAAGCCATTTGTATTGCAACAATTTATGTGTACCATTCGTTCTTATTATTGTCTGGTTTATATGAGCTCATATGACGTGTCCCACTTGTTATTTGACCTTGTCAATCATTCATCGCCTTTATTCATGTGTGTGCATGTCGATCTCGTTGGTCACATGTCTGTCTTATTTTTGTCTGACTAAAAAATTCTTAGTCATGCTTAATCTCTTGGACATGGCTCACTAGCCTTCTCCACATCGCTTTATCCGCTCATTCGCCTACTCACTCGCTTGCTTGCTTTCCGGCGCTCGCATGATGATTTTATCTTTTAGCGCTTGTGGTCTGCTGTTCTATTTGTGGTGTGTCAAAAATAAACATATGCAACACTTCGAGTTCACCTTCTGATTTATAAACCGTCAGACGCTAGTTAGTAACGCTTGTCTCGACGAACTAATCGCGAAGATTAAGAACACGTCGAGACCGGCCACCACAATAATACAAACTGCTAAATTCAGAATTCTAAAAATATCCTTCATGTTATGAGATCTGAAGATTTTAAATTTGTCCCCGGATCAGAGATGTACATTGCCAAAAAATTTTCATCTACAATTGATAAAACTATCCAGTATTCATTGATTTTCAATGGTTCGTTAAATAATAATGTTAGTTTTTAGAAAAAAAAGTTAACTTACGAATTAAAGACAAATTGTAACCTATGGGCAAACAGCTACGATAGTAAAAACTGAAATATCTAGAGTTTCGTGTTTGACAGTGCTTAAAATTGTTTAAATGAATTACTGTTTAATACTGTCTGTAGGATGGTGCATTACCTGATTACCAAACATGATGTCATATAATTCGAACTCTGGTGTGTAAACATAAATCACGACAACAGAACAGTGTGTCAACTATAGCATTGAATGTTTAAAAGAATAGGAAAGAATAAAGAAATTCTAATGACCTTTTTACCGATTCCAGGTATTTGAAGCAGAAATGCCTGAGCTTCAAAATGAGACATAGAACGAAGTTCAAGCAGACGAGATCGACCTCCATTTTTCAATAGCCAATTGGCAGCAAGTCTGAAATAATTTAAACACATAGATAATAAAGAAATTGTTTGTAATTTATGAACAAACATCTTATAGGACTTTATCGAAAAATTCTAAAATCCATTTCAGATACAATCAATAACAGTGTTTTTCTTCTTGAAGGCAAATTAGACGTTTATAAGTAGATCAATTGTTACGGTTGTTAGTAATCAGCACAAACAAAAATACTCGGATGATAAGATTGATAAATCTTTTCTGATCAACATCTAATCAGATACGATAATAGTCAAAATGAATGGTCACTTCATACGTATGGGTTTCTGTTACGCATGCACGTAAACACGTCAACTTGATATACTTGAACTATTACGAGTTTACCTAGTCGGAAAACGAGAGCGAGGATCCAGTGACACGACATGCTACTCTAATCCGATTATCCCAACCCTCATATTGAGTAAAAGAAGACAAGACTTGATATGAAGTAGAATCTGTATTCTACAAGCATCCAGAAAGTACGAGGTCCGAGTCCAGAAGAGAATCAGGTCATAAAACGTTACAGATAATGCGTATTTATACATTTTGGTCGAATGAGAAACAGCATCGAAGTCTGTGACATTGACAGTTAAGACGACCAATAAGAAGTAACATTTGAAGTGACATTGATAGTCAGGACAACCAATAAGAAACAACATTGGAGCACATGACATTGATATCTAGGACGACCATAAAATTGACCAGTAGGAATTAACCAATAGGAATTGACCAATAATTCTCTTAGGATATTGGATGAATATCCTAACAGTTTCAGTTTCAACATTGATGATATTAATGACTAGACTTATCAGCTTCCACTGGCATACGTTAATCCTAAGCCGATTGACCTGATGGTTAGTTCATTTGGTTACAGGTTTCAACAATGTTGGATTGTAGCTATAAGTGGAATCAACGAAAATCGTTTCATTCTATTCGTGACTCATGACTATGTTCACAATACAACCCGAACCTGGTACATTTCGCTTTAAACTTTAATGAATTATGTATTGAGTTCAGATAGCCACTAACTTCGGGAAAACTAAAAACCTGATATATAATAAGCTTGTGACTAACTGGAATCAATAGTTTAGTGGATAATACGCAGGTGTTTCGAAAAATATCTCGTCTGAGTTTCGTTGTGAACATCAGGTACACATCCAGCTCACAAGTTTTGAATACAGAAAAACGTCCGCGGTAGATTTCATTGCTCGCCATAATCCAAATTTACTGAAAAGACATCTTTCTTATCACTCCGAAATCTAATAAAACATGATTTATATGTATACACGTATTCAGGAGAATAACGCATAATAATTTACAAATCATATTTATATTAGGAATCATGTCGTAGTCTAAACAATTATCACTTTGAAACAGTAATTATTAATCATTTGCAATGGATGTTTAGGGCTATAAGTGATCAATCGCATTTAAGTATTATATTAGCTCAATACTGCCACAAGGTCACAAGCATTCTTATAAGCAGAGATGAATAATGACTAATAATGAAATTCAGAACACATGTTTCATCCTATTTGGGACTTGTAGGCTGAACGTACTTGCATTTTAGAGTTAATATGTTCCACATAAGAGACTGATCAATTACAGTCCATAACACCAACTGAACAATTGAAACAACGAATACAAATCAATTAAACTTCACCCCCACCCCAGTGTACAAATCAGTAGCTAAATGGATAATGCGACGGCATTTGATGAGGAAGGCATTGAGTTCAAATCCCCATGAGAATATTAATACTGATATGTATATTTCGAAATGATTTGTTGATGAATTTTATTGTAGCTTTTTGCTGTCATCTATAGTGTGTAAATTCAGTTACATTTTATCATATTTAGGACTCAACTACACTTCAAAGTGTTAGGATATTCATCCAATATCCTAAGAGAATTATTGGTCAATTCCTATTGGTTAATTCCTACTGGTCAATTTTATGGTCGTCCTAGATATCAATGTCATGTGCTCCAATGTTGTTTCTTATTGGTTGTCCTGACTATCAATGTCACTTCAAATGTTACTTCTTATTGTTCGTCTTAACTGTCAATGTCACAGACTTTGATGCTGTTTCTCATTCGACCAAAATGTATAAATACGCATTATCTGTAACGTTTTATGATCAGGACCAGGACCAAGACCCGGTCCCGGATCCCTAGTCCGGGATCCTGATTATCTTGTGGATTCGGACCTCGTACTTTCTGGATGCTTGTAGAATACAGGTTCTACTTCATTCATATCAAGTCTTGTCTTCTTTTACTCAATATGGGGGTTGGAATAATCAGATTAGAGTAGCATGTCGTGTCGACGGATCCTTGATCTTCGCTCTCGTTTTCCGACTAAGGTAAACTCGTAATAGTTCAAATATATCAAGTTGACGTGTTTACGTGCAGGCGTAACACAAAGATAGCAATTTTCTTTCCTATTTCAAAAGAATATCGCTTTTTTACTTATTATTAACCTATTATGATTACTCTAAATAAATAGAACAACTAATGAGAAAATAAACACACTAATCAAGTGATAAACTAATTAACAGTATGTATGTATGTATGAATTTCACGTTAATTAAAATTAATAAAACAATTAAGATAATTAAAGAAATTACTATGAAAACATTTAATAAAATCATTCGAATTTCGTCCCAATTTAATACTGATTTTCTGTAAAATATATATCATAAATGAATTTCAATTGCCATGGTCAAGTTATTGAATCAAAAATATACTGATTTACATTTTTCAACTTCTTACTAAGTTAGTGATTTAACTAATAAGTTACTAATTCATTTCGTTAACTTCATATAAAGTCCCATTAATATCTAGCAAGTCATTGGTGAATTAGAAAATCAGTTAAACAAGTGTTTAATGAAATTAGAAACGATAATGAAGACTGTATAGCCTTGGGTAAAGTTTACTTATTATGAGTTGGAGTACTGTATAGTATCTGATCATTTGTTTTTGCCATCATGAACAATTATTACCCACTAAAGTGTTCATTCGTTCTTGAATTACATGCCTTAAGTAGTAAATGCTCAGATTGTCACATACTGGCAAGTAATTTTTACTATACCCTTCCGCCAATGGTGAAAAATAAAAGTATGATCTATCTGCGCCTAAATTTTTCTTATGGTTACAGTTATAAATTTGATGCGTACTAAGAATAAACAGTTATCTGGGTATAGTTGTAAAATAAAATTGATATGTTATATGTTCGTCAGAATAGATCCTAATAGACATCCCTAAATCCATTCACCTTTTTAGTTAGTTATGCGTTAAAGTCACCAACAATGAATAGTACATCTAAGGGTTTAACTTTCTGAGGAAGGTGATAACAATTTCTGATAGATTGTATCTTTCACTTTATCTGTGCTGCAGTCAGAATGGGAATAGGTCGAAAAGACGAAAATACAGCAATGTTTATCCCTACTTTTCCAAGTATATACTATATCTTAGTCTGACGGCGGTTAAACACCTGTCAACAAGTAATTCACTTAAGTGTCTGTGCTGTTCTCAAGCTTAGTGTTACATCTATTCCAGTCGAGGATACAAGAAGTAACTGCTGAATATCTAGATACGATAAAAATAAATTACACATGCTCTTCACACTAGTCAGATTTAACGAAACGATCTGACTAGAAGTTCGACAACTTAAGGTCAATCAGTCAGTTGCAACGTAGAACTACGTACGTATGTACATAAGTTCAGGTTGTCATATCACATTAACACAGAGACACAAATGTCACATCAAATCCCATAGTGATAGAGATAGTAGAGGTATTAATGGTAATGAAGAAGACTAGGGTTTGAAGATATTATTCAAGAAGTATAATGCAGTGAGATAAGGTTAGAAAGACAAAGGTAGGGGTGATGATGAATCCAAAAGATTAGGATTTAATAGAGCACAATGAATGGATGCACTTGCGCCACTGTAAACGATTTTGAGCCAGGTCGTTCGAGGTCTCTAACCATTGGTGACTTTCGTCTCGCGGACCCCAACCAGGTAGTCTACATCTACCAACATGACTCAGTCCACTTGTCAGTAACTTCATGAATTGACAATTTAAGGTTCATTTTGCTTACAAGAAAATCAGAAAGGATGTCGATATACAAATGATAAAATACAATATATGGGATTGTATAAAAACGAGGGTTTCATTGAGCACAAAAATAATTGTTTTGTACCTACGTAATAAACTTGGAACGATAACCAAAACCAATCTTTTTTAAATTATCCTGCATTCCAGGTTGTGCAAGTATTTCTGGCGATGGAAAAGTCCAATGTCTTATATCCTCATTTTCAAAGTACAAAGGATTACCATATTCACTGCATAATTTACAAAGTAATTTAGTAATTCGTATTAAATTATTATTCGCTGATGTAATGAAAGCGAATAATGTTTCTTCTGGATCTTGTCTTAATAAGCGTAAACCACGAGCTGTATCCATTTGACACTGTTTAGAGAAACGATTTGCAAACCATTCATCTTTCATAGACCATTCTTTCATTAGATTAGATAAATTCATATCTAATCTGAAGTAATCACGTAAATCATAAGGAACATCGTTTAATCTTGTTTTCAACTTTTTATCAAAATAATATTCAACAGGATTAGAGTCATCCACTTGACGTAATCGCCATAAATGACCATTTATTACTCCGTGCCATTCATTCAAAGATGAATTAAAAATCCAGCTGTAATTTAGAGAAATAAATATACTTCATGGGCAACAAACATACATCAGTTTATTTAATATGTGCAGCTGAAAATCACTGAATGTGGAAAATAAAGTCATATCCAGTATAAACTAATCTTTTTACCTTATTTAGTGATAAAAGTATACTTAGAAAAATATGCAATGGTTAGAAAGATGAGACAAAATATCTCCCCTAAATAATACTTAAAGTCGAAAGCTGAGTTGAGTATTCTTTCTATGAACTGCTTCGATAATGTCCATTAAATAGTAGATTGAACGATGTAAACCATGTAACAGCCTGTTTTTTTTCTGTTGTTAACAATCAGAATGAAAAATAGTAGCCTGATAGGTACAGTAATATTTATGAATAATATGGTAGTCAGTATTTTAGCTCGATTAGTATTTAGTAACTAAAAAAAAGGCAGAATTATCAGAAAGTAAACCTATGAATAATAAGCAAATCATAACGCAATTCTCTAGATAAACTATTCAATAAACAAGTCAGTTAGTCAGTCACAACGTACGTAAGTACCCTATCTGTATTGAGAGGCAACTGTCAGTTCAAATCCCATGGTAGCAGAGATAGTAGTATAAGTATTAGCATTAATGGAGAAGATTTGGGGTTCGAAGACATGATTCGAGAAGTATAATTCAATGAGATAACGAAAATCTGATCATTGTCATCTTAACTACAATGATTAAAATTTGTATTGCGACATACAATTAAACAAGCTGAGCTGTAAACTCAATCATTAAAACATTTGAATTGCAACGTCAATAAAACCATTGTTCAATACACATCAGTTAAGGTTTTGGGTTATTTATTACTGTCTAAACAATAGCATCATAAAAAATAATCATTTGATTTCTATTTTTTGATTGCGTGTATGTTATCCTTTAAAAATAAAAGAAATCATTCATATTATCAGTTAAACAAAATGGATTACCATAAACTTTCACAATCTATCGCTTAAAATAAATAAGACAGGAAAAATAAATGAAAATTTTCTCCTAACAATTCTGGTATATATTTTCATTTGCAACCTATGTGTATAAAAGTGTAGCTGTTGATAGTCTTATAATAATATCAATACATGGGTTTGATAATACTTTGGTTGAAAGAAGTAGATCATTAAAGAGCTTTGGTTAGAAGAAACCTAAAGGCAACCAAACCAAAACATGACACAAATCCATGAAGTCATTGACAAGTGGACTGAATCATGTTGGTAGATGCAGACTACCTGGCTGGGGCCCCGTCAGATGATAATAATTGATGGTTAGAGACCCTGAATAAAATGGTTCAAAACCGTTTGCCATGGCGCAGGTGCATTCATTCCTTGTGTTCTCTCAAATTCTAACACTTGAAGTTTCTCATCACCTTTACCATTTTAAGTTTATTTCACTAGATTCTACTTCTTGAATAATATCGTCGAACCCTAATCTCGCCGATTACTACCTCTACCACTATGGGATTTGGAATGACAATTGCGTCTCTGTGCTAATGTGGTATGGCAACATGAACTTATGTATTTACGTACGAAGTTCTACGTTGTGACTGACTGACTTAAAGAGCATCTTTACAATGAATTAAGAATCAAAATGGTTAATGTTTAGATTTCATTGACAAATCAATTGAGGAAGGTTAAACAATGTAGATAAAGCATTCCAATCTATTTAATCGTGAATATCTTTAACACAATATAGATAGTTTTGTAGAACTAATTGAAACTGAAATCATTCACATTTCTGCGTTGCTGTTGATTGATTAATTAATTGGTCGAGATATGAACAGATCATAATATGAATTTTGAAGATTACAGAGAATATCTCAATATATTATGAATGGTACTTTGGACAGTAAAATTGTCGGCATATTATGAATTAGGCAGTTAGATAGTTTTTCCAATATCAGCTAATTTATTTAGACAATTTTCTGGACACTTATTACATTGATGAGAGATGAATATAAAAACAAAACTTTAAGTGACGTGTTTTGCCAAAATCTTTCAAAAATTTATTGGTTAAACACTTTAGAATGAGATTCTATTCAACGAAAATGTCCACTTTATTGTTTTATTGTCAAACACAGAAAATCTATATCAACTGCTTTATAAATAAACATAAACGATACCCACCGAAATGCTTGACCACTATTCAAAGTTGAAAACAAATTGAAATCCTTTGGATCTACAGGAATTGAATGCCAATTATTAATTTGTCTCTAAAATTGAAAGTATGCATCAAGTGAAGATAATTTTCAAACATGATGTCTACTCGTTTTAAACTTGCAGTTAAAAGTACGAAATTTGAATAAGGCGTCAAGTTTGATTTGTGGATAACTCAGTTAATTTTATTTAGTTAAGGTGACTTAAACAGTTTATCTAAGTTATCACAAACTATAGCTGAAGTCAAATTCTCAAACAACCTCCACGAACACTAATAATTTACCATGTTATGAAAACTACTATTTTTTTCAAGAAGCAAAAAAATTGACATTAGTTACGAAAATTAATGGAGGCACGAATCCAGCCTGAACATCAGTGCATCGACTATACAAACGAATGGCTAAACGAAAACGTGTTATTAGTTTATAAAATCGATGAATGTTGAACTGGCCCATGTTAGTCGGTAGTTGTAGACAACTTGCAGTATGTGCAATAACTGAAACCAGTGGTTGAAGACACTGAACGATATAGTTCCAGAATCCAGCACAACATAATGAACGCATCTGCTTTTATCTTATTCTAGACCTTAAGTCCCAGTATTACTCCATACATACCTTTCCTTTTTATCTTTAAGAGCCATATTTTAGTGATTAGTTTTTTATACCGATGGCTACTACTATTATTCCCTCTCCTCCAATATTTATCTCGTCGTGCAGTGGTATGAAAACCTAAACGAAAACAAATCTATTCCAGGAACTATGTTGATCGATGCTGTCTAGCACATAGTGTAATAAGATTCGAACAACATAAGTATAAAATAAATTCATCAAATCATGAGCCATAAAATACGTATATAGATGTCTACTATTAATCTGATCTACAAATAAATCGTTGTTTAACACTGATATCCAGTAATCATAACAAGTCAGTCAGTTACAAAGTAAAACTTCGTACATAAGTACATCAGTTCAGGTTTCCATACCACACTAACATAGAGACGCAATTGTCAATTCAAAGCCCGTAGTGGTAGAGATAGTAAAAATATTTGCGATAATGGAGAATATTAGGGTTCGAATATATCAATCAGAAAGTATGGTTCAGTGAGATAACTTTAGAAAGAGAAAGATGAGGGATTTAGAAGGTTAAAAATTGAGAGAACGCAAAGAGTGGATGCACCGGCGCAATTGTAAATGATTTTCAGCCATGTCATTAAATGTCTCTAACCATCGGTTACTATCATCTCGCTGGCCACAACCAAGTAGACTGCATCTACCAACATGACTCAGTCCACCTGTGACTTCATGAATTTGCGCCATGTTTTGTTCTGGCCTGCCCTACCTTTCTTCCAACCTACTCCTACATCGCAAAACATTGCTCATCGAGGCAGTCGGTGGTCGAACATTCGTAACACATGTCCCAACAGCCTCAACTGATGAAGTTTCAAGACTTCGTCTATTGACCTGACATCTCTGCCTAGCACTCGTTTCCTAACGACATCACTGCTTACTCAATGGTCACAGGATATACGAGTAATGCTCCGAAGACATCTGTAATCGAATACTAATAACCTACCAAATGTCTTCTACTTTCAACAGCTATGTTTCGCAGCCATAAAGTAGGACAGAGCGAACTGTTGCACAGCACACTCGTCCTTTAGTCAGCAAACGGATATCTCGCTTACACCACAAGTGACGCAGGTTGGTGGAAACCAATTGAGCCATCTGTATCCGTACTGAGATTTCGTCAGTCAGTCACCAGGCCATCAGCACTGGTGAGACTCACCAGATAAGTGAAGCGGTCAACACGCCCGACTACTTCACTCCGTATTACTAGTCGAGGTGCCGATACAAACCAATCATGAAGCAACATTTTTCTTCTCAAGGGGGAAAACCGCATCCCGAACATGCTTGCATTGTTGCTTAGGATAGTCAGAAGACTCTGCATTTTGTCAGCGTCTTCACCAAGTAGGACTGTGTCATCCAGTAAATCTCCTAGTAGGAAGTCCACCCCTGAAAGTGTGACGAGGATAACGTTAACTCTAAAAGCATGTCTACGACAAAGTTAAACGAGAATGGACGGGGTGGACAGCCCTGATGGACACCACTTGAATTAAAGAATCCCGATGATAGTTCGCCGTAAGCCCTCAACCCAACCAGTGATGTTCGAGAAGAGAGCTTTTATAAAGTTAATGTATTTCTTTGGTACACCTTTTAATGACAGACACTGGCACAGAACCTCGTAGTCGACACAGTCAAATTCCGCTTTTAGGTCGAGAAATACTACTATTGTGGAGCGTCGGAACGAGTGTCTATGTTCTAGGACCTGACGTCGTGTGAATATGTGGTCTATACATCCACGTCCAGGTCGAGAACCAGCCTGGTATTCTCTAGTCTGCTCTTCACGAGCTCCCGTAAGGCGTCCGAGTATTAATGAGGCCAACAAAACCTGTAATTTATACTGATACCCTAATACTAAGTGTTATAATCAATTAATGAGGATGAGGTCACATTAACCACATCTACACAGCGAGTAGAGTAATAACAATCATGAAAATACACTGAAAATCAACAATCGAACGAACATACATTATACACTCTTTGTCTTTCATCAACACCATTGACAATAATTCCAACGATAATTTAGACAAAACGTATCATTTCAAAGAAAGCAAAACTTCAAATATATATATGTATATATATACCAATGTTACAAAAGAAATCATCAACAATAGATAGTAAGTATACTTTGCAAGTATAACATAAAACTGATAATAACATGGGAAAGTCAAGGAGAAACAGAGGGAGAGAGAGACATTGAAAAAAAAACAAAGAATTACATAATATTTGAGAATTTTAATAATAATAACAATAATAATAATAATAGTGGTAATAATAATGATTATCATCACATTCATGACACAATGACAATTTTGAATAAATGAATAATAATAATTGAACAGACAATTATAGAAAAAAAGTAATAATAATAATAATTATTATTATTATTATTATCACTATAAACAAAAAATTAATTATTCAACTTTGTGTTATAGAGAAATGCAAATAACAAAAAAATTTTTTTTGATCACAATGAAATTGTGTAAAGTTGATTGGACTAATTGACTGATAGATTGAATAAATTTTTGGTAAAAAAGAAAACCGATCAACAAGTGAACTATTGGTATGATGGTGATTGAATGACTGACTTGAAGGTGATAATAGATGGTAACAGAAAGAAACAAAAAAACAACCCATGGAAATTAGGTGGTGTTGATAATGATGATGATGGCGGCCAACATGTCATCAAAAGGAGACAAACAGAAGAAAACATTATTATTATTATTATTATTATTATTATTATTATTATCAGTAATTATTAATATAGAATCCTATTGTTCAATAAAACAAAACCAATTGACAAAAGAAAAAAAAACCAATGATTGGCATAATCATTGAACACATTGAATTATATAGCTAACAATATAAATAATATTCTACAAATACATAAGTAAGTAAGTAAGTAAATAAAGTAAGTAATTAAGTGGGCAGATAGAGGTGGTGGTGTACACAACATGAAAACTAAATAAATAATTAAAAATATTCACGAGAAAAGATGAAAAGAGTATAAAACTGGGGGGGGGAGAGAGAGAGAAAGAGTTTGAATAAATTAATTAAATACAATTCAATCAAGAATGCATGGTACTCTACTTACTGTGTGCGTGTGAAAGAAAAGAGAAAAAAACTAACAAGAGAGAGATTGTTTGTTTGTTTATATTTTTCATTTCAAAACACACAAAGTAATCATGTGTTGCCTGGTGTTCTTTTTTTAGAGAATCAAACCATAGAGGAGAGAGTAACAACAACGGAAATATTATATAAACATATGTATATATATGTATATATATTGGGAATGATAGTGAAAATTCGTATTGTTTATTCATTATCTCATTGAACATCAGCAATCATTTATTGTTGTGATAAGACTTGTTTTTTCAGTTCGATAAGATGAAAAAAAGTGTTTGTGTGTTTTTTTCAATGTATAATAAATTGTATATAAGGAATACTATTCAACCGAAAGGGGGATTTTGATGCCTGCATAGTGTGAAATTATAGAGCATTGATCAGATTATTTCGTTGAATATTTATATATATATAAACAAGTAGAGCAACACAATAATGATGATGTTGATATAACGTAACTACTAGTCAAATTCAAATTAATTGTTCCATGAGTTTGACTAAATGAGATGAGACAATATCTCTTGTACTGCGAATAGTTAAGCGATACATCTATAAGAAGAAGAAGAAAAAAGGAATTGTAAACTAGTAATAATTTGTAATCACAAATTATGACATCAATTTTATATGTGTTAGTTTGATAATAAGAAATCAGTGAAAAACATACAATGAAGGATTTTGTTTGTATTATATGTATAAGAATTGTACAAAGATACGATTATAGTGAACTTTTCCTGTATTGTACATACACAAAAAGCTATATTTTGCAAATACTCAAATCGTGATTGTTACGCACGCATGTAAACAGGTCAACTTGATATACTTGAACTAATAGGAGTTTACCTAGTCGGAAAACGAGAGCGAGGATCGAGGATCCGGTAACACGACATGCTAATCAAATCCGACTATCCCAACCCCCATATTGAGTAAAAGAAGACAAGACTTGATATGAAGTAGAACATGTATTCTACAATCATCCAGAAAGTACGAGGTCCGAGTCCAGAAGAGAATCAGGATCCCGGACTAGGGATCCGGGTCCTGGGCATAGAACGTTACAGATAATATGTATTTATACATTTACGTCGAGTAGGAAACAGCATCGAAGTTTGTGACATTGATAGTTAAGACGACCAATAGGAAACAACTGTGGAGTACGTGACATTGAGATCTAGGATGATCATAAAATTGACCAGTAGAAATTAACTAGTAGGAAACGACCAATAATTCCCTTGGGATATTAGATGAATATCCTAACAGTGATCTATTTTATTTTCGTTTCGTCTATTTTAAAAAGCGCAACGAATATTATAGTAGTTGCAATAGTAGTATTATAATACTTCCAATCGATACAACAATAACACTAGTTGTTATGACTGGGACGTTAATCGATATCTAGAGATAGATTCAAACAATAAGAATCCTGGTTACAATTTCTTTACCTTAAATATATTATCCTATCCATGACCTAGTGCCTTTAGTCTTAAACAATGATACACTTCAACTGGTAACATAAGCTTTGAGTTGAGGTTAAGATAATTATGTACCCTACTGGTTCAACAACATATACTTCTCCTGCATTCCCTTCAGATATATATATATATATATATATATCTGCGTACTTGTAAAACAAGTTAGTAATTATCTAAAACAAAGCTTAGTGCACCGATGGAGGGAAACATTCGAGAATTCTAAACTTACATTTGATTGTGTATTCGGTTCCAATCGAAGTAATACACCAACTTGTTGACTACTAGTTACAACAATGCCTGCACCAACAATATTTTGTGGATTGGGATCAATACCGTCTAGTAAACTAAATCCGAAGTTTCGAGTCTGTAAATAAAAATAGAATCAGTTATTATTACTTTGATATGAGGAAATAGATATTAACAACCGCGCTACCGACAGAATGAATAAAAATACAATCAACAAAACTGTAAATAAATACAAAACACTAATGAACGAGGATTATGTCCCCAGAACTCGGTTTTTGTTTTCGCGCGTGGGTTGATCAGTTGACCTTGAGATTACACTTCCCACTCGGAAAATCCCTGACTGTTATCGGCTGATGTATTAATTATAGTATGCGATTTTGTAGCTCTCCCAAAGACATTTCTATCATGTATAAATAAACTCGATTTGTGTTCTTGTCAACCTCGTATGTTCTGTGTACTTCTAGAAAACACTTTCTACGTCTTATCAAAACATCTTGCGATAGTTAGCAGGACCGGGGACTCGTTTACCGAGTAAACGAGAACTCTTAATAGTTTCAAGCATATCAATTGACGAGCATATCAGATATGTACTTCAAAGATAAAATAGCCACTGCTACATAGCAAATACTACAATTCCACCGTTTAACAATATCAATAATCGATAGAACAAACAGGAATAACGTGTGTTTAGAAACGATAAACTGGTGAAATTGAGATTGACAAAAGTAGAACTGCACTGAATATAGTTAGTCAAATTATTCAATTGTATTTGGAGAAAAAGAGATATCCGTAAAAAAAGTACTATGTAAATTTTACATTTTTCTTAGATGATTGAAACAGAATTTAAGGAAGTTGGAAAAAAGTATTTTATGGTTAGACTATGAATTGAATACACAATCTGGAGAGCTTAAATTCTTGTAAATGTTGAATTATACTGCTAGATCTAGGTACTAAATATGAATCAGGCTACATACATGTTGCATAACATGAAATACCATATTCAGAAGTTGTTCAATAATTTACATATGACTTATAAAACCATATTTACAAAATGAGATAACGTATACTTTATAAAAATAAATGATAATACACAAATTTCTTCACGGTTTGTCTTAGTGAAGTGAATCATTTGTTTACTGTTGAGGATAAGAAAACCTCTGGATATATTCGCTATGGTTTGCAACATTGACACCTTATATGATTTGATGAGAATGAACTAAGTAGTTAGTGAGTCAGTAGGCTATCTTCTGGATTCTTCAACACCTCTAGTTTCGACTCTCTAAACTTTTCTCACTGAATCATACTTCTTGAATAATATCTAATCCTAACCTCTCCGATTACTTCTAATACCTTTACTACCTCTTCTACTATTGGATATGAGTTGACAGTTATATATCTGTGCTGATGTGGTATGGCAACATGAACTGATGTACTTATGTACAAAGTTCTACGTTGCATCTGACTGAATGACTGACTGAGTCAGTAGGCTGTTATTTTTATATCGACTAGCACTTAACTTTTTTTCAACACTGTTGTCTGATGCGATATTGATGAATTGAAGATATAAGTAGTAAGAATAATAATATATGAGAATAGTAGTGAGTCCAACGAAATGTATGCTTAGATTTCTCATACAGTTGCAATAAGATAGTGGGGATCCATTTACAGAAAAAAAAATATCAACACAAATGACCAGTTCCAAGTTATAGTCTATCAATTTTACAAGGACACAGATGGCAATATTTTTTTTCCGAATTTTGACAAGCTTAAAGTTTACTGGAGGTTTTTTAGAAGTGTAAAAACCACTGTGATGCTAAATACGCTAAACACTTTATTAGAAACAATGAAATGGTTAGTATATTTCGCAATGTTAATTTTTTACCAAAAATGACATAGAATTTACGTTACAATTCGCAAATGCGATATCAACAGTATAAGCCTTAACTAGCATACATCGTCAGAGTTCATTCAAACAATAGAAACCACCAAATTGACCGAAAATAATCACAATGAAAGTTTGCCGGGCAAAAAATCGACAGCTTTAAACATAGTGTTTTTGGGGATCTTCACATATTAAAATCGATATGAAGGAGGAATTTATTGTAGTATAATGATATTATCTATTCAGAATATCTTATTTTAATCAAACATATTAAATAAAGGGGACTATCGGTATCAATATTTTCATGATTATTACTAGTATTATCATCATTAACAATCAGACTTTCGTAATTTAGAGTTGTATCCAAATAAATGACCGACAGTGTATATATAGCATGAATAATCCATCAGGTCATATGTAACATACAAATAAGAATCAATAACTGATAAATCCTATATTCTGTTTGGAAATACGTTATATATATATATATATATATATATATATATATAAGTAAATCATTATTAGTCCAACTGAGACGCCAGATCGTTAACCAACATGAATACAATTTTAATAAATAAATAAAATATAATCAAATTTCATGTATTAATAGCACATTTGGAATACTTAAACAAAGTTTCATTTCACAAATACGTAAAACACATATAAATCAACCTTTTTCTAACTGTAACTCGGTAAAATCTATCTAACTAACAAATACATTTTAAGTGAATTTCATATTCATATACAGATCTATCTATAGGCCATCAAATTGTAGGTGTTATAAAGATAGAGAGAGATAAATGAGAGACATAAATAAAACAATATGATTAAGTTGATTCAACATTTAGTTTAAACATTTAGATAAGGTTTCTGGAAAACCAGTATAACTGATTACAACCCTAGAAAAGTAATTGATACATCAATAATTATTGATTGATTGAATTGGAAAAGTTGAAACGATCATCTGGCATTTACAATTATACTTTCTAAAAATGACAACAAATAATCAACAGATAGATAACTCAGTTCAGTGAATGAATTATTTAACTCATTTTTTGTCAACCTTACAGTCAGTCAGTCAGTTACAATGTCGGTCACCTTTACAATAATTTTAACAATAAATTCAAAACATTAAAGGATAAAAATTTAATCAAAATCATGAGTCGATCAGTGTTAGACCACAAATTCGAAACATGGAAGCACTGAATGGCCGTTTTGTCCTAGTGAGAATCGAGCACAAGGCCTTCAGTCTCGCGTGTAAATGTTGAATAAAAATCATCATGTGTGCACTAGTGACTAGCTAGGTGAGAAAATTTTCAGAGTTTTAGTGAGAAGCCGTGACCAATGGAGTTCACCCCTGCCAGGTGTATGCAGTTACCCACCGAAGACACGGTCAGATGCCAGATCAGTGGTCTAGAAGTTAGGCGCGCGAGACTGGAAGTTCTAAGTTCGATTAACGTCAGAGAGGATCGTGAATGAGCAATATTGATGAGTTCCGTACTAGGAAAAAACAGCCGTTCAGTGTTTCTATGTTTCTAATGGTGGTCTAACACTGACACATTCATGATTTCAATAAAAATCAATCTACGCAACCCTGTAATTAAAACTGAACAGAATGGATATAATCATCTTTTCGTGATTGTACATTGATAAAGGACAATAAGAGGTGTTCTTGCGAATCAACCACTAAGAATAAGCATTTCAGAAAAGCAAATCCAACATTTCAACAATTAAGGATTCCAACCATTTCGAAGGGTTCTAGAAGGAATTATAGGAACCATTATAAATGCTCGATACAATGAACAAGTGGGAAGAAAACTATTGTCAGTTTGTGGGAATTTAGAAATACTAAAAAATTCTTGACATGACTTTTTTTCAATTTAAAAGATATGTAACTCAAACTAGTTTAACATTAATTCAACTTGAATTATGTTTCAAGATATATTACACTAGGAAAGTAAAACAAGGTGTCAAATTTTCCATAATTATAACTTACAGTAGTTCTCATGGAAGTTGTTTCTAATGAGAATAGTGCAGAATTGATTTTCTGACATTCTTGTCCAGGTCTAAAATGAAAGGAAAAAAATAGATTGTGAAAAGAATGGTACTGATGTATCATCCCTTAACCGCCAACCAATAATATCATAACATCATCAAATACAAAACACCAATCAGAATTATGTTAAGCACCAAAGTTCTCAATCCTAATTGATACACAATTCAATAGCACATTTCTCTCTACTCTGTCTCTTAGCCCGGAAGTCCGTAAGCTAGCCTGCACAAAACTCGTTATAATTCAAGAAGAAACATTTTATACACACACCAAATCACACCACACCTCTAATCTTCTTCCTAATATAGCAGGCATGATAACCCGTATTGAAAAATATTACAAAATAAACAAATCACATGATTTCATCTTTGCTAATATGTATTGGTATTTGAAACAGAAATCGAACAGAGTAACTAGGGTAAATTTTCATTGGCAATAAATAGTAGAAACTTACTGACACAATAATTTCCATCGAGCAAAAAATGTTGCTTGATCCATCACAGCAGGTTGTAGGAATTTATTCAATGTTATCGGGAGCATAAGTGCATAACGTTGTTTTGAGTCTTCATATCTGTTTCAAGAAATATGAAGACACAAAATTAGACAACTAATAATCACAACAGCTGAGGTTAGAGATGAAAATAGGTAAATTAAATCACGATTTTATAAATATAAGCATAAGTGAGAGGAATTAAAAAAACAAGACAAGATGAGAGATGTTAGGGGGTGTAAGAAGGATTTGATTTTGACCAATTTGGTCTCGTGTGCTGTTACGGGTATGAGGGCGATTGTCACTTCCCGGCTGCCCACACCGTGGAAGAGTGTTTCTTGAGGGACCTGAAAAAGAAGATAGATTAGTTTTGGTCTTAGAGACCTGGGTGCGTGACCGCAGAGCCCAAGGGACAACTGCTTGAGGCCGGTCACACACGGCCTTTTGATGAGAGGTAGTTTTGGTATTAGCTTCGCTCTTAAAAACCCTTAGTGGGCACCCTTACCGACGGAGACGGAAATCCGTGAGATAGGGTGAGGTGTGACATTTTTAGGGTCGACATTTTCTGACCCTTCCTTCCTCGTGAGAAGGCAGCATCGCTGCAGATGCTGGTTATCCGAGGGAAACACATTACTACTGTCACACCCCTCTGCAGTCAGCAGTACGACTTCGCCCTCAGACCCTGGGTAGCTGCTTTTAGTCTCATCGTTCTCCAATCGACCTGCCTGGCACGGTAGAACATTCAGGAACATATGTTCCAGCCAATGTAGCTCGGTTGGGTCATCATGATAAGCAAGCCCGACCACCACGTCAAGGTAGCAGCTACGGTCGGGATTAAAAAACAAACAATCATTATTATTGTTATCATGTTAATATATGATGCTTACATCAAGAACATATAACTGGTCACTGAATTAATAACCGACTAATAAAATTAATAATAGCAATAAGGAGCTTGTTGTCCTATCTGGCACGATGTTCAGACATGAAAAGCTCAAACATGTAGTTTACAAAGCGTGGTTTCAAGACACCAGGAAGTTTTCCGTGTACTTAAATCGTTTGCATCAGCGGCTCGAGGTGATAAAGAAATGAAAGGGTTAGTTTTCGAAATAAGAAAGTTATTAGGAGGTGAAGAAACGATTTGAGCGCGAGTGGGTTGATCGCTTGTGCTATAAGTAGTATGAAGGTAGATGTCACTTCCCAGCTGACCAAACCAATGAAGGGTTTTTCTTGAAGAACCTGAAAAAGGAGATAGATTATTGTTGTTCTTAACGACGAGAAAGCGTGACCACAGAGCCAAAGAGAAAACTGCTTGGGGTCGGTCACCCACAGCCTTTTTTTATAGGACGTTTTTTAAGGTTAGCTCTTCCCTTCAAAAACAGATTTGAGAGAACCAGGGTGGTTTAAGACCTGGACGTAGCTGCACAGACCACATTTTCACACTACGACAGGTCTTGGAACGCAGAAACACATTTAGGTGTCCCACTATAGTTGACTTCCCGGAACTTAAAGCAGCTGTAGCACCTCACATATATCTCGTACTTTTATCATTGTTGAGCTTGTATGCGCATGTACGCTTGGGCATTACTTGCAACCAACACATATAGTTATTTGACTAGCGTTACCGATTAACAGTTTGAATGATTCGATGTCAATATTGACTATACATATTTGAATTAAATTAGATGTTTGTATCGACCATTAAACATTTTGAATAATTAAGAAATTGTGGCAACGACTCATGTTCTCTCGTAGCGATCACCAAGACGGAAATATACGGGATTTCGAAGATAACTAAAGTCCAACGCCACATAGCATTTAACTTTGTTGATCGTGAGTTTCTGTGGCAGTGTCTGTCATTGAAAGGTGTACCAAAGAATTACATTAACCTTATACAAGCTTTCAGCTCGAACACTACAGGTCGAGTTAGAGCTTATGGCGAACTGTGATCGCATTGGTTACTTCAAGTGTTATCCGCAGGGATGTCCACTCTCCATTCTTGTTTAATTTTGTCACAGACATGCTCCTAGATATAACATTATCTTCGTCTAACTTTTCAAGAGTGGACCTTTTACCAGGTGGCTCGCTTATTGACTTAGAATATGCCGATGACATAGTTCTATTCGGTGAAGACGCTGACAAAATGCAGTCTTTTGACTACCCTAAGCAACAATGCAAGCATTTTTGGCATTCGATTCTCACCCTCGAAATGCAAAATGTTGCTTCATGATTGGCTTGTATCGGCACCTGAACTAGTGATAGGAAGTGAGGCAGTTGAACATGTTCACAGATTCACTCATTTGATGAGTCTCATCAGTGCTGATGGACTGGTGACTGACGAAATCTCAGTACGGATACAGAAAGCTCGACTAACTTTTGCCAACTTGCATCACCTATGGTGCAGGCGAGATATCCGTTTACAAACCAAAGGACGAGTGTACTACGCAGCAGTTCGCTCTGTCCTACTATATGGATGAGAAACATGACCAGTCAGAGTAGATTAGGTTATTAGTATTCGATTATAGATGTCTTCGATGCATTGCTCGTATATCCTGGGGACAGCCGAATAAGCATTGTTATAATCAGGAAACGATTACTAGGTAAGGATGGCAGATCAATGGATGAAGTAGTGAAACGTCATCAATTAAGGTGGTTGGAACATGTATTACAAATACCCAACCACAGACTGCTTCGACAAGCGATGTTTTGGGGTGTAGGAGTAGGTTGGAAGAAAGTTAGGGGCGGCCAAATCGAAACATGACACAAATCCATAAAGTCACTGACAACTGGACTGAGTCATGTTACTAAGTGATGACTACCCGGTTGGGATTCGCGAGATGATCAGAGACCTTAAATGAAATGGCTCAAAACCGTTTGCAATGGCGCAAATGCATTTGTTCTTTGGGTTCTCTCGAATTTTTAACCTTCTAAATTCCTCATCACCTTTATCTTTTTAAGTTTATTTCACTAGATTATACTTCTTGAATAATATCTTTGAACCCTAATCTCTCCGACTATTGCTAATACTTTTAATACCTCTACTACTATGGATTTGAAATGACATTTGCATCTGTGTTAATGTGGTATGGCAACTTCAAATGATGTACGTACGTACGAAGTTCTAAGTTGTGGTTGTTGACTGACTGACTGACCTCCGTTCAAAAAGCTTAACCGACAGAGACGGTAATCCATTGAGTAAGGTGGTGTGATATTTTTAGGATCGACCGTTTCTAACCTCTCCCTTCCTTGTGAGGAGGCAGCATCTCTGCAAATGCTGTTTGTCCGAGAGAAACACCTTACTGCCGACATACCCCTCTACAGTCAGCAGTATGACTTCACCCGCAAATCTCGCGTTGCTGCTTTTAGTCTTACTTTTCTCCAGTCAACCTGCCTGACATGGTAGTACCTAGAGAAACAAATACTCTAGCAAATATAATTTGATCAGGTCATCACGATACGGAAACCTGACCACGACGTTAAAGTAGCAGCTACGCTCTGGAACAGAATGCGGAACACATTAGGATAATTTCTTAAATTATTATAACGTAACCAAAGAGGTAATTATATCATGATCCGAAAGCCTTTAGATACACACTATGTGTGATATAGTGAATTCAAGTCCAGGTTTGTCACCCAATTAAAAAACGCAGTACAGTTAATACAGTATGAAATTTTCCTTGGATTTAAGTCAGCTAATAACAACTGAGAATTCATTAGTGTTTGGAAACAATGTAAGATGGTGGTGCTGGTTAGGTATTGAAAATAGCCTTATACTGATAGATAATAAAATTATTACCAGATAATAGCTACTTCAGTTCCGACAATCAATTTATATCACAAAGTGTAGTTTAATATTCGAATACATAATATCAGTGCTTGCTAGATAAGCAACCGTGAAAAACACTATTGATAAAACAAATTCACTTACAAATAAGAAACATCCATTTTTACTATTTCAGTAAAAGGTCGTAAACATTCAACATTTAATGATTGTTGAACTTGAGTTCCTGCTTCAATTCGATCAGGTCCAGGTTGAAGTTCAATGGAAATTGCTTTAGCCAATTCATTCACATCCATTGCATCTGGACATGTGACTTGAGAACAAAACACTGTGAATGGATGAGGAGATTTATTTCCGTAGAATACACCTAAACGACAAAATTGCCCACGAGATTCCATTCGAATACCGATACGAATAAGAGAATTCTCATATAGAATTGCATTATGCCTCGTTAAAAAGCTGAGGGAGAGAGACAGAGAGATGGAGAGAATAACACCGTAGAGTATTAATGACTAGTGTAGTCAAAAAAATCAAAATACAAATGATCTCCTTAAAAAATTTCAGAACTAAATTTGCTTAGAGTTTTTTCATCAATAAAATTTTCAAAATTTTTACAAAATTGAAAAATATCATGGAAATTGTGTTGATTATTGAGTGGTGATCAAAGTCATGTTTTTCTGGACTTGATTGACTGATTGATTGACCGAACCCTATCGATCAAGTTGAATTGTGACCACTAGTTTAAGTATCTCGATAATGGCAGGCGCTACGCTGAGATGCTAGGAGGTTGGCGAAGGTCAGAAGGAAGAAATCTTGTCAACTACCTCCAACCACCTAAAATTATGATTTGGTTATTTTGCATTTAGCCTTACGTTACGTAAGTTTTTAATAGAAATACGATAATTGAAAATATGGTCTTTTAAAAGCCTGATAATTATTTTTGTCTATTGAAACCCTTATTTGAAATATTGATTAACTAAGGTCACATAAAAAACATGGAAAAACCAAAACATAGATTATATTAGATTAGTGAACAGGTTGTACAAATGATAAATTAAAAATTGAGTGAGTAACTGATTGACTTTGCTTACAGGACGAAAAATACATTGAAAAATATAAACAGAAAGATGATAAGCATGAGAGAATAATAAAACTTTGATAAAAAGGATAGGAAACAGTTAAATAGAACTGAAACTACAGAATGACCATTGATCAATTTGAAAATACAAATTAAAACTAGCCTACAACTTCTTGAAAAGTGAAAATAGTTGTCTGCTACTTGCTTTAAGACTGATAGCGCCGGAACAGTTGGTTTTGTCTACACCATAGCGGCCGTCGTTGTAAAGAAACACAGGAAGAACAGAAGGCTGGAGCGTTGGAAGTCGCGACTCAAAGATGGTGTGCAAATAGAGTATTCAATGTAATGTTTTCGTTTTTAATTGACTCAGAGTGTAAATTTGCATAATACAATCTTCCTCGCCTGCCTCAGTCTTTTCATGCGTAACGAGCTAAAATCCCTATTTTACTTTGTAAAATGTATAGAAATGTTCATACTCTCAAGACAGAAATGAATAAATGACGAAAGAGTATCATATAAACCAGTGGCATAAAAAAACATAAGTTCAGTAACATAATCAGCAGATCTTCGTTGAATGTAGTTCAATGCAATACATTATATGTTAGCTGAGTAACAAATGTTCGGTAGTAAGTAGCGGCTAACATACACAGAAATGCATCATGACTGTGTTATATGACTACCACATTTGGCAGAAAATTATTGGTGACACAAAGCTAAGACAATTAAAAATGAAAACACGGCGTGGCTCTTCGAAAATAACTACAGAATATAACATTCTGCTGCAACTGAATTAGCAACCTCCTATAGGGTTTCACATATACCAAACTTGTGAAAATCTCTTCTTAGACGGCTAAGCTGGTTAGAAAAGATAGTGTATAATGACCTAGTTTAGATTAAAGAATAATTTTCCTACGACTATACATCTTCATAAATAAAGACATATTTTCCGTTTCTTTTGCCGTTGAATGAAACTGGTCAGTCATTGAATAATAAGTATACGCTCTTCAAAAGTGTATAATATTAGTGAACTACTCTATTGATTAGTCATCAGAAAAATGTATACCATAAATATATAAACTCATAAACATACTTTGTAAATTCTTTACGATTCATGTACTGATCACCACTAGCATGAAGTAAATTGTTCGTATCTGAAGACGTGAAGCCATTCCCCATTAAATCAACTAACAGACTAGATGAGCCGTTTGGTTTGGACTGGACATCATTGTACACAGTACCAGGATTGCCGAAATTGAGTAAATCTGCTTCACGGTTAACATCATGATTGTTATCATGGCTGATCTGGATTAGAAAAGAAGGGAGGGGGAGTAGAAAAAATGATAGATCTGCTAAATGAACATAAGATCTGACTCCCTATCGTCTTCTAATAACCTCAGACTAAATTTACACCGCAACATGAACATGAAAGAGTGGGAAGTACGAAAATAACGTTTTACTTCAACGTTAATTTATGCACGGGAAAATGAAAGTACTTGTAGTTACTCGTTACCTTTGGATTCTGGAAGCTTAGAGAACCACACCAAATTTAGTAGTGGTATGGTTAAATATTCAATCAAAAACGTGGCATGTGATTGTGCATTTTCCAGATGTTTCTGAGACGGTTCTATTAAAAGCCGAATGGATGAAACACTTCTACGCTTTTGTAGATATTAAACAGTATCTTGAAATGCAAACGTCTTATTTATCTGTGATGAATCACCAATTATTAGTCGAGAGTTGACCCTGCCGAGAGAAAAAATCCCTAATGATTTTATGTTCAGTGGAAAAAAAATTTGCACAAACCGACTGCTTTTTTAATCAAACATTGACAGTGAACAAATCTAGGTTGTTAGAAGTCTTTCGCCCATAACTTGTATGTACATTCCTATATTCACTTACTTCTGTCTATGTCACCAGGGTTTTCCAAGAAATGTGTTATTTCGGATTCATTTTTGTACTTGTCTGGGTTAAGTCCAACGATATCTACTGGTTGAGTGTTCGACAGAGAACAACCTAATACACTGTTTTCAATATTTAGATTTAGTCAGTGAGGGGCATTACAGTCAGTGGGATAATTGAAATGAATTTTTTTCAAAATTACTGTCCAAGTACCAAACTCTGCTGTGCAAAATTAGCATTTTTGAACGAACATAAAAACATTGAAAAAAAATCAACTAACAGTGACACTAGTTCGAAAGTAAAGAATTACATAGTAATAAAAATCTGCAGTTCAAGGAAAAACACCAATATATGATTTTTTCGTAAATCTGAACACCTGATTTTCAAAGTTATATTACCAAGCAGGTTAGTCCCCACTACTATTCCATAAGTTAAACAAAAGTTCAACTGTAAGTTATTATTAAAAAAAGCGACACCGTTTCATAGCTATTAGGGGATGTGCAATAACCAAATACAACAGATATAGGAGAAAGTTAGAATCCGACTTTAGGTGAATGTAAGATCAACCTGTTAGGATATTCATCCATTATGCTAAGAGAATGATTTTTTAAGCCTAATTTTATTGTTCAATTCTTACTGGTCAATATTATGGATATCCTAGCTATCAATGTCATGGACTTCAATGTTGTTTCCTATTCGACATAATTGTATAAATACACATTATCTGTAACGTTCTATGACCCGGAGCCGGATCCCTAGTCCGGGATCCTGATTCTCTTCTCGACTTGGACCTCGTACTTTATGGATGCTTGTAGAATACAGGTTCTACTTCATATCAAGTCGTCTTCTTTTACCCAATGAAGGGGGTTGGGACGATCGGATTAGAGTAGCATGTCGTGTCGCCGGATCCTCGCTCTCGTTTTCCGACTCAGGTGTAAACTCGTAATAGTTCAAGCATATCAAATGACGTGTTTACGTGTACGCGCAACACAACCCTTATTAAAATCTCTGTTACATTACTTCATAAACTTTAATGCATTTTCACTATGATTTGTGCTGAGTGACAATTAGGCATTTCATAGATTCGGTTCACTGAAACCCATTTAAATCGACTGATTTAAGTGTATGTTCAACTCTATAGGGGTTATCATCAACGAAGCTTCTGATTTTAAGTAGTGGGGGCATGGAATAAAAGGATAGAAATAGTCTCGATGTAGTGACACTGAGAAATATTGAGTTAATGTGTGTACAAATAATACTAAAACCAATATCAACGGGAATTCCATTTTGCATCCAAATTTCATCTTGTTAAATTATAACCAGAAATTTATATTAGCCGAAATAAAGAAAAGTCACATATGTAATTTAAACACACTTTACTACTACTACTACTACTACTACTACTCTCCTATGATAAAGTTGATATTCAAATCAGATTATAATCTAAATCCAAACATTAAAACATTCACTAGCAAATAATCATGAAAAAAGAAAAAATCTCAGATAATGCGATTAGATATGAAGCACAACTAGCTAGCTAGTTTCATATTGATTGACTTAAATAAAAGTCGTAAATAATCTAATTTTATGGAATATCAAGGAATTAATATATAAAAAAAGTAGGTGAGAATAAGCAAATGAGACATAGTAAATGGTTAAATTATAAATTCACTCTTCGATCGATAAATTGTGGATCTTTGGTAAAATGATAGAGAGTATGCAGACGAAATTAACAGAATGGAGAATGTGATATATATATATATAAATATATATATATATATATACTAATTTCATTTAAAAATCAAAGTAACCTGCAAAAGCTTCTCATAGAAGCACTAAAAAAAACAAAATCCATTTACACTTTGTAATAATATTGCATTCTTTGGAGTAGGTTGGAAGAAAGTTAGGGGCGGCCAGACCAAAACATGGCAGAAATAAATGAAGTCATTGACAGGTGGACTGAGCCATGTCGGTAATTGTCGACTACCTGGTTGGGGTCCGCGAGATGATAATAATCGATGGTTAGAGACCTTGAATGGCATGACTCAAAATCGTTCGCAATGGCGCCGGTGCATTTATTCCTTGTGTTCTCTCAAATCCTAATCTTCTGGATTCTTCAACACCTCTAGTTTTGACTCTCTAAACTTTTCTCACTGAATCATACTTCTTGAATAGTATCTTCTAACCCTAACCTCTCCGATTACTTCTAATTCCCTTACTACCTCTACTACTATTGGATTTGAATTGACAATTACTTCTCTGTGCTGATGTGGTATGGCAACATGAACTGATGTACTTACGTACGAAGTTCTACGTTGCATCTGACTGACTGACTCTGACTGATTGCATTGTTTTTCATAAACTACTCATCCATAGAGGTTTTTTCTGATCGGCAAAGAACTAGTTGAAAATCCGTTATTATAAGTTTGTTCCTATATAAATATTCTTGGTGAATTTTTCTACCGTCTGTCTGAATTATCATCTTATTAAACAATTTAGCCTACAGCTCAATAATTCAAAATAAATTATTCAGTCATGTTTCTAGCATAATTTTTGCATGGTTAAATATGTAAGACGTATTGTCGTAGATAAGAAAACAAATCATAAAAAATCTTCACAATCGCAGGTCAGACATTGTTTTATGACCGTGAGAAGTAGGTGTATTTATAACTAGCAATTGTTCATTCATGGTTTTCAGTGCAAATTCGTCCTAATTATTGTACTGGTTTACTCTGGTACATATTACACTGAAATCCACCTTCGGATCAGATCGATTTCCTGTTTTTGTAACATAAATAGGGTGTGATTGATAGGTTTTATTGACTGAACTTGATCTGCACAATTTTTATTTAACTTTCTATTAGTTTTGAATTTGAACTGACAAGTTCATCTCTCTGTGCTAATGTGGTATGGCGACTTGAACTGATGTACGTAAGTTACAGCTGATTGACTAGCTTGGATAATTTGTTTGTTGACAAATGTTGACTGATACAAGTTCATGCTGTGTAAGCTGTGAGTGGCGCCTACATCTTCGTTAATAGTATCATCAGAGAAGATAAGTTTGATATGATGTGTAAAACTCTTCGTCATGCTTTCTTTCATACTTGAAAGGTACAGAACTGTGAAAATAAATTTATTGACTTACTGATGTTGACTTTCTATAAACACTTCTTTAACATTGCATGTAATCTTCGTATTAACAAAAAGTTTAAGATTAAAATACTACCATTGACTTCTGCTAACCCCCCAAATCAGTCAGTCAGACAGTTATAACGTAGAGCTTCGTGAATACATACATCAGTTCAAGTTGCAATACCACATTAGCAGACTGATGCAATTGTCAATTCAAATCCAATAGTAGTAGAGGTGGTAAAGGTATTAGCAGTAATCGGAGAGATTAGGGTTTCAAGATATTATTCAAGAAGTAGAATCTATTGAAATAAACTTAAAAAGATAAAGTGATGAGGAATTCAGAAGGTTAGAATTTGAGAGAACACAAAGGATGAATGCATCTATGCCATTGCAAACGGTTTTGAGCCATGTCACTCAGGGTCTCCAACCATCGATTACTATCATCTTGCGGACCCCAACCAAGTAGTCGATACCTACCAACTCCGAATAGACTAACTTTGTCTATTAAGATTATAAGTACTGTGAAAGTCGGGTTCAATGCAGTGCGAATAAAATGCTAATGGGTCAATTACATTTTGAAACGGATGATTCTATAATTATGTCACAAAAATGTAAATAAAGAGTAGGACTAGTGATGATCTCAACGGAGCCCTATCTAATTTAAATAGTTGAATGGTTTGTGGTGATGAGTTAGATTCGAAAGTTCTTTATCACTAACTGAAATTAGCTTCAAAACCATTGAAAACTAAAAAGATTCGGAAGAAAGTTGTTTGGTTCTGGAACAATGATAAGACATCCGACTAAATGGTTCCGGAGGCACGATGCTAGGCCCCAAAACGTAAAAGTCGTGCGATTCATTATTTCGAACAAATTCATCAATGTGTAATATATTTCTAACTGTTTTAAAATAAGAAAACCAAGCTCTCTGCTTAGTGACCTCTAATCTTCAGTGATTCTTTACAGATGGAAACATCTGAACAGAACAATCATTCCTATTTGATAGTAATCATTATGAATAATCTTTACGCTTTCTTTAACATGGATTCATTCAATGAAGAGAATTTTTTTTCCCTAATATGACCATTAGATTTGTGATCATTTAAAGTACTAAACAAATCAATCGATGAGGTAAATATATCTTGTTAAGATATTCATCCAATATCCTAAGGAAATTATTGATCAATTCCTACTGGTCAATTTCACGGTTGTCCTAGATACCAATGTCATGTACTCCAATGTTGTTTCCTATTGGTCGTCTTAACTGTCAATGCCACAAGCTTCGATACGCTTTCCTATTCGACCTAAATGTATAAATACGCATTCACTGTAAAGCTATTCCATTCCATTCCTTCCTGCCTTCATCTCTACTGTATTCGACCCTATAAACAACTTCATCTAACGGTGTTGTGTTCTGATATATAGGAGATTTGGGAATAGTATTTAGGGTCGTATTGGAATATTTGAATTTGGTCAATCCGTAGAATTTCAAATAGCTACCTAGCGTCTAGTATCACAAATCTATATCAATATGTTATGATTTTGCAATGTTTCCAAATCACAAAATCATACTATATGATGATAATTATTATTATTATTACTATGATATTTTAATCATCAGATAAAGAATAGGGTAGTTATTATATGTGTGATGATTCGAAGTATTTAATTTAGTATTAAGAAATTCATACGCATAATTATATAATTTGTTAGAAAAAAAATAAATAAATTATGCATCCATAATTTATTGATTATTAAGCGATTCAAGTAAACAAGATTTACTAGTCAGCCAGTATCAGAATTAGCATTTTCACTAGATTTTAGTCGTGTCTAGAGTTTAGATTGAAAACTTTGAGCGAGAGACAGAGAGAGAAGAAAAACAAATGCTCAACAGTTGGTAATATATGTAAATTGCTAACTTATTCATAATGTACCAATGACAATGTAGATACACAACCAAGAAGTGAAGATTTTATGTTTATTTGCTCGTTTATCTTGGGACAATCGAGTAAGTAATGCTGTTGTTAGGAAACGGGTGCTAGGTAGGGATGGCAGGTCAATAGATGAAGTAATGAAATTTTATCAGTTGAAATGGTTGGGACATGTGTTACGAATGCCTAACCACCGACTGCCTCGTTGAGATATGTTTTGTGGGTAGGAATAGGTTGGAAGATTGCTAGAGGCGGCCAAATCAAAACATGGCACAAATCCATAAAGTCACTGACAAGTGAACTGACTCATGTTGGCAGGTGTCGACTACCTGGTTGAGGTCGGCGAGATGATAGTAATCGATGGTTAGAGACCTTAAATGATATAGCTCAAAACCGTCTGAAATGGTGCAGGTGCATTCATTCTTTGTGTTCTATCAAATTCTAACCTTCTGAATTCCTCATCACTTTTATCTTTTTATTTTAAGTTTATTTCACTATGGGATTTGAATTGATAATTGCATCTGTGTGCTAATGTAGCATAGCAACTTGAACTGATGTACATACGTATGACGTTCTACGTTGTTGTTGATTAACTGATTGATTTTATGTTTATTTAACCTACATATAATTAAATGTTGCCAATTTTTGTAATTTTGTATGTATTAAAATCAATGAGTGAAAGATTAGTGTTGTATTTATAATTTTAGCTGAAAATAAAGGCTTAGTGAATGCATAGTCAACTATAACGTAGAACTTTGTACATATGTACGTATATCAGTTCAACTTGCCATACCATGGCGGCACAGAGATGCAATTGTCATTTCAAATCCGATAGACGTTTTAGCGATAATCAAAAGGATTATGGTTTGAAGATATTATTCAGGAAATGTAATTCAGTGAAATAAATTTGAAAAAGAGAAAGATAAAAGTGATGAGGAATTCAGAGGATTATAATTTCAGAGAACACAAATAATGGATGTACCTGCGTCAATGCAAACGATTTTGAACTATGTCATTCAAGGTTTACAACCACCGGTTATTACTGTTAGTGAATGTATACTGCTTAAACAGTCACAGATCTCAAGGGTCAACGTTTTCCCAGTGTTCAACTACCGGATAAAAACAATGGGGTGACCGATGAGAAATAACCTCAATTTTAAAGGAAAATCAACTGAATTGTTTATATTATTCTGAATAATGGTTACGATCTGCTTTGTTTGTTGTAATGAAAAAGACTGAATTATTATTCCATTATTCCAAAATAGTACCACGATTGGAGTCAAAATCAATAAATCAAACATAACTCGGTAAATGTGGAATGCATTTATCATCCCAATGGAAGTAAAATGAAAGGATAAAAAACACATTACTGACATACACACATAAAAAAATACAAGATAATAAAACAAGTGAAAAACTAACTTTAGCTGAATTCACAGCATAACTATCTCCAACCGCTTCTGATTTTGTTATTGTACCATCAGTATTAGGATTTTTAGCTTTAAGTTTAGCTAAAATACTAGAATGACGTTCTGGGAATGGTGGCATTTCTTCTAGTACAGTAGCCTAAAAATAAGTGAAATAATGTAAATGATGAACACATCATAGAAAATCGATGCATAAGGAATTAAAAAAGAAAGAGAAATCATTAGATGAACATAAAAAAACCCAGATGCATTTGTTGTTTATGAACAAGATGAGAAAATATTGATTAAGATATATATGCTCAACACTTCAATTTTATTCAAAGTATAGGAAAATAAGTACTGCCACAGAGGATAAACCTAACTATGAATTTGAGAATTGATAGTTAATTAGAAACTCATAAATACTGAATTATTTCATCGTAGTAATGTTTCAAGAAAACTACATTCTATATATTCAGAATGAGACAATTCAATTTCGAAAATAATAGCATTTTAAGGTACACGTTAGCTCCTGATTTTGCACAATATAATCTAGTTTGAAATATTTAACT